ATGTGGCTCCAACATATTCACAACTGTATTACGCAATGCTAGCTTTTACACCCGAATGAGTAAACATTTGTAGGGAAAAACCAAATCAGGAAGCATAATTTGCCTGTTCCACTTCCAACTGACCAAAATGTGTAAGATTTTTGTAAGAGTTGCAACCCGATATCATATCGAAAAATGGAAAATCACAACTGCCTCGGGACGAAGAAACTTTCTTGGTGGAAGAGGTGTCCCTCGAGTTAAGTCCAAACGACACCAATAAACGGCAGATTTAACTTGGCTACGCTTACACTGGCTTTTCGGCAAGCTATTTACTTTAAACCGGTGACCGGCAGTCTTTACAATTTAATTCACCCCACGATAATTTGCTGTGCTGACTGTTGACCAAAACGAAAACCACTCGCACACCGCCACTTGGAACTGACCAAACCCGCATCGATGGAAAATCGTTGCGCGCGTTGACCGTCACACAGTGGCGGAGCCAGCGTCTTAGATAGAGGGTTTTGTCTGAATACTCGGGACCTGAGTTCACCGCGGGTCAAAACTGCCATCACACCATTCACACGTCACATCACAAAAAATGAAAAATAAGTTCAGCAAAGAGAGACAAAAAACCTCGGCGTTCACCCCGCACTAGGTTTTTTTTCCCAGACCACGAACCACGACCCCCTTTTCTCATGCCAACGCTTAACGCCATTGTTGTTGGATTCATGCGGTCTTCATTATCCGCTGCCGAATCCAAGGAGACGTATTATAAAAGGGGACTGAAATCTCCCCTTTCATGTTGCTGACCTCAGTGGGGTCTGAGCGCTGCAAGTTGCTGTGAAAAGAACTGACGCGTGTGTGAAGGGTTACTGCCAAATCGGTTTGGGGCTTGGATGTATATCAGTGAATAGAAAAAAAATCGTCCCATGCATCATGCAAACCTTTTAAGCGCAACTACTAGGGAATGCAGGAACAAGCCTTTTGCGAGTTAAATATGAACAAAACCTGGCACACTGAGTTATCCAATTGCACATAAACACAACTTGAACTCCCGAGACTAAAGACGCTGTTGCTATACCTTGTGATACGGGGCAAGCTTTTGCATAGCAACCACCATCTCTGGAATGGATTGGTTCCTTGGTGCCCTTCTCATACACTGAAACAGTGTATTGATGCAAGACGTCTCTTTAAAAACTGAGCAAAAGCTTGCCCTGGATCACGGGGTATAGCAACAGTGTCTCTAGTATAGAGAATTCGAATTGTTAAGTTCACATGAATTTAAAGAACTCGGATACCATATTTTATTCACATTTAAGCCACTTATTGGACATAATATGGAGCAACGGCGGTCGGCAGGTCGGGTTTAGAGAACGGGTGAATATGCACACAGAGCCACACAAAGTTAAGAACTTGAGTATGATTAGCAGAAAAACAATGAAAGCTTCGATATGGAAAAAAGGATATGATTTCTCGATATGAAATTTAAAAAAAAGTTCACGTCAACCCATCATGGCCTACATGTGATTTCTGTCACCTATCTACCGAGACTAAATCTAAGCTCACTATCGGCAACAAATCTCGACTAACCTTCAGAAAACGGCAATTTGGGTCCGTTATGGACTGTTAAATTTTTGCTCTCTCAGAGTAAAAACCTTTACCGAAAGGTTTTATATTTAAAAGCTGTCTAGTAAAGCAGTCGTTATAATGGAGGAAACCCTGTCCACGACAGTTGAAAAAGAGCGCCCTCGTTCGACCCGCAATCACGACGCATGTGCTGCACGCAGTGACCGTACGCAACGTTCTCTGCTGCCGCATTTGAGCAGCAGCTTCGCGGACGGCACAGATTGCGCCCTCTGTCAACCTTACCCCAAATGTAAAATCTCTATCGGTTCGAACGTTTACGCCGAAATTGACAAGTTTCCATTTGACAGTTACAGGGTATTACATGTACCTTTAAAAAGTCTGGACTCTGAAAGTCTATGATGCCCTCAAAAAGCATCATAACATGTACATTTGATATCAAACAAATTTCAAAGGAGTTACAGGAACCCTAGGCCTTATGCTTAACCACATCTCAGGAAATTGAAACATTTTTCAACACTACGGGCAACTACATGTAATTTTTTTCTAACCACTGACCTCTGAGCAACTAGCTGTGTTTGAATAAGTTTTATTCATCACATCCAGCAAGGGTCATCATTAAACTTTGTATCTCCTAAAATACAACCAAGATATTGATTAATTTAATGGTTGAACAATAAATGAAAGTTTGATAAAGCTCTACCAAATTTAACATAGATTTCCCGACCTTACGTTGGAACACATTACCACTTGCAACCTTTGGTGTCAATGAAATCCAACATAAAAACCTCTCCCCTTGCTTGAATTTACTTATCTCCAATTTCCAAGCTTGTCAGTCACATATGTGACCTGCTCCACAAAAATGGGTATTATGGGACATTTTTTTGTATACATTTGAATTGTTACATTGTAAGCATTCATTTAGTGTATTTTTGAACCCTGTGGCATTTTGCAATCCGGAGATATACTAATTTTTGCATAATCATATCATAAACATTAACCCTAACCCCCTAGGGTGTATGTAAAATCATATTGAAATCGGAGGATTTGGGACTGTTAGGGTTAACAGAAGTGCTTTCAGAGATAAAGCCCTTTGAACACAGGATCGAAGTGGAAAAAGAAATCAGCCAAGAAGAAAATCTCTTGATACCCATAGCAACAGTTAGGTTTCTTGTATGAATTGTGAAATTACTGATATACAAAGCCAATAAACCAAGAAGTAAAAATTCACCCTCTCCACATAGAAAAGCCCTCAGTGTGAAACAGCACAGCATCCCTTATATTAATACCCTTTTTCGCAGAGCGGGTCATACATTTTCAAGCCTCCATGCTCCATGTCAAGACAAAAGTTACTGGTTGTGCACAAATAGCAGAGGACAGCCACAGTGGGTTACAAACTGTAGGACTTTCATATTGCCTTTCAAATTATTGGTGTAAACCTTCCTAATAGATTTCTTCTTGGTGTTGGGGGGGGTATGTACACATTTTGAACATTACGAGTTTGCATTTATTTTAAAAATTTTACCACCACCGACTACCGCTCTGAATCACTGGCGGCGGAGCGATTGTCAAAGTGGGGGGCCAGTTGATGTCGAGACCATCAGGCATCGGCCATTAATAGCTCGATCCATTGAGATCCAACCAATTAAAGGACCTGCAGAAAGTGGAAGGGGGGCAAGCCCCCCCAGTCGAAAAAGTAGCGGGCCACTAGCCTCCCCTGCTTCTGCGGCCAGTGCTCTGAATACTAAAATTTGATATATTCAAGAGATGCACCAAAAATATTAAACGAGAAATGGATGTGGTGTGAAGTGATTGTGAAAAAAGTTTCTATTAATGCCTGACAGATTATTGTTGTGAAAGTAATGCATTTTAGTGAAAGGGTGAATACAGAGTTGTATGTAACATAGGCCTTTTGGGCTGTTTTGAGCAATTTAAAAAGTTGGGAAATCCAACCTAAAGTTAAGCGGTAGTCGTTGGTCGGTGTACTTAAACATTGTTGGGAACCTTAATAAATAAAAAAGAAAGATTTAAGCAGATCTGCACCAAATAGTTTTCTTCATTTGTAAATGAGTAATTCCAGAGATTAGAGGTCCAAAAGTGTGACATTTTTGTGTCCCTGTTACATCTGACGTTTGTTATCTGACATGGAAATATCACCGGAATTGATTTCAAACTTTCTGTTTGTTTGGCAGGTAATTTGCATTAATTTCATCACTCTTGGAAATTAGAAAATGTGTTCTGAACTTACAGAATCATATGTCCGATGTTTCAGAGACACAAAAAAAAATGGACCCCAAATTCTGGAATTACCCAAATGCAGTCATAAGCTGTTTCAACAGATTACAGATGTTGTAGAACATTTTCTGAAGCCAAGTAGGAATGGTTCATGACAGACATATTAGGATAAATCTTAAACATTTTGTTTACAACACCTGAATTTCTATACTGACATAAGTTTTGATAGTGGTAGCACGCATGTATTTCGTGCAACTTTCTGCTACTCTTGAAAAAAACCAAAAAGGTTTCTCAACACCCCTTCTTGATCAATCTTATTTTTGAAAAATATCCTTAAACTTAAAAATACGGCAGGTTTTCCCCGAAAAATAAGGGCACTGTTCATACAGTGCCATATCAGGAAGGCAAGTGCAGTGTTTTGTTCAAAATGTCAACAGAAAATTTGCTCATAATGCAAAAGTGGGACAGCTTTGCCACTTGTTTTAATTGAAATGACTGTCAGTGTTGTAGTCGAGACATGGAAGTCCCAGACCGAGACCTGAAGGTCCGAGACCAAGACCTTAAAGTCCGACCGGAGAACGAGACAGGGTCCCGAGATCGAGACCAGGAAACAATGGTCTCGAGACCTACAACACTGGTGACTGTCGCTGAAATGAACCGCCACACAAAAGAAATTAAACTCCTAAATATTACAAATTCTAGCCAGATGTACATGTAGCTGCAGCTGAAATCTCCGTTTTAGCCGAAAAAACCCCTGAATTTGGTGATTGGATTGGCTCACACAATAACGGCTGTGCTCCTATTACAAAACAGCAAATTGCATTTAGGCCTATAAACAAAGCTAGGCCCTACATACACTCTGAGTCTACTAAGCATTTTGAACACAAAAGTTTGACAAACACACCTTATGGGATGGGGCAAATGTCCATGTACTCCACATTCACCAATGTTGAAACTTTCCCTCTCAAAATGTCCAATTCGCTTCGTCCCTTCATTTCGGAAATGCAAACGGAAAATTGAAAGCAATATCTCTGCACCGGTCAAACCCCTGCTGAACACAGGGCCACGCACGGCGTTTAATTTTTCCCGCAACAAAAAGGGCGCCACCGCTCGGAGAAATCCCATTTTTCCTATTGCCAGTAATCACTCATGCGTGTCATTGGTGAAATTATGTTAATAGGCTGGCAATGGCGCAGTCGGCCAATCAGGGCCAGGGAATGCGGTGAGCCCTTTCCCTCGTATATATTGACATTAAATCCGCCATTCTTCTCGTTGATCGGTGAACTATTGTGCTGATAAACTATGCGCCGATTCTGCCGAAATAATCGGCGTTCCTGACTTATTCCAGCCTTCATAGCCCGCAAAAAGGCGTCATGTCGTTCGATGTTGCCGTGGAATCGGGAAATGTTCCCGAGAAGTTACATAACTGGGGACAATTGAACGGCAAAGATCTGACCGTGAGTGCCGACAGCTCAAAGGCGAAGTGTGAGGCGAGCGCAGCGGAGCAGCTGCCAGCGACAGGCAGCCAAGACATCGGGACAAGGCCGTTAGGCTTGGTCGCTCCATTCAACCGGAACAATTTGCATGCAAAGAGACGGCCCAGGCTTGGCCGTCAGAGAGTGAACACAGTGAGTTAGAATTGCGTTCTTTCTTTCCTCATACTTTTATTGTGTGCTGAGTTTTCATATCATTGGGCACTTGTCAATGCTAGAACTGGTGGCCTCCACCCAAACTGTGGTCATTGTCTTTGTTTTGATTGAATCTTCTTTTAGACTTGAAGTAATTCAACAATTTTGCTTACATGACTCGTGTGTCAGATAAATTTAATGTAGGTTGTCCTGATATATTTCACATATTTGTTTTTAGCACACTGAGATGTGAGATTTGCAAGATTTTTCAAATTTCTTGGAGTCAGGTTCTGAATACCTTAATGAGCGCTGATTGTTTACTTTCAGTGGGGAATATTGTACAGTGGGGACTATTCAAAGTGTAGATTGTACATTACACATAGGCCTATCTTTTTCTGGATTATGTTTGTGATAACCTGTAGGCTGTACCTAGATGGTAGCCTAGTACAATGAGAAATGTTGTGGTAGTTGTTCCCTCAATACCTTGTGTAATGATTGGTTTGGTTAGTATCTTATTACTCCATGGTATAATCTCCATCCCAGCTGAAAAATAATTCAGGAAAATTGCTGGTCAAGGTTGACTTAATCTAAGGGACTCCTTCGAAAGGCAGCACTTTGACAGAAAGGGACTACTCTCATTAAAGTTACAATTAAAAGAAGAAATATTTTTAGGGAAGAGAAGAGAAACCATTGCACACATCTTGAAGAGCCTGACATTATTCCATAACAATGATATGGCATTGTAGCTAGTTCCAACTTCATTCACTCATGACCAGGAGGTGGAAAATTTCTGGGCATTTCCATTTGTACCCCCCAAAAAAGAGCACTGTACACAAGTGTAACTGTTTTCTTTTGTGTTACATGCCTGGTCTTTTATGTGTTGCTGTCGGTTGATTCTTGATTGAATGGCAGCTGGGACCAAGGCTTTGACCATTGTGAAATCAGTAAAGGTTTTCAATGGTTGCTTTATTCTGCCAAGTTTTGGTTCAAACTTGAAACAACAGTTGACACCCTGACGGCAAAAGCAGAAGGCCAGGATGATACACCTAAAGAGGAGACTTGTAATTGCTATTTTTGTGAACAGGTCATTTTTTTCCCAGTTGAAAAACTGTTGCCAAAGGCATGGGAAGTTAACAATGCATACTTAAAGATCATTGATGTCCGACTTCGTTTTGCTTGAAACAGGCTGAACTGAAATTTCTTAAATTGAGAGAATACATACATTTAATGTTCCTTAACAGTTGTCACTGACACAAAAATCTTGAAATTTTGTGTATGGTGGGTTAGTACAACTACAAGCATGATTTCTTTTCTATCATTTTTATGGGTGCTCTGACTTAGTGTCAATTTGGCCAATAAACTTAAATTATTTTGCTTCTGTGTCAGCAGCACATGTCCAAGAGGAAGCGTTCCCGAGGCTATGCTCATGATGGTCTGTCCATGGCCAATCTGCCTGCCAGCATGTTTCAGCCCCGGCCCTACCTGCCGGTCAACACCCACCCTATCATGACCCAGGCGGACATGGAGAGGGCCCTCAGCGCTGCAGGCCTGGCCTTGGTCAACAACACCCAGGCCAGCTTGGCCCGGCAACAGCTGCTGCAGTCACAGCAGCAGCGCCGGCTGCCCCTCCGCTGCTGCAGCTGCTCGTCCTGTGCCTGCAGCTGCCACGCCGAGCGCAAGGCCACAAGTGATGCAGGCTCGCAGACCTGCGAGGAGGACCTGAGGCCCGGGGCTGAGCCGCGGCCACCCGCTGCCCCGGCAGCCCCCACGAGTCAGGAGCCCAGTTCCTGCCAGCTCCCCATCGATCTCAGCATCAAGGTCCAAGTGGTTCCGCCGTCGGACAGGAATACTCAGGGCGAAGGCACCGATGGTCCTATTGAACTGACTAAGGCCCCCAGGCACTCCAATGGCATGGCCGGGGGCCGTAAGGGGGTGTTGAAGTTCCACCAGATGATTTGTGACATGCAAGAGGCCAACCATGTGTACACCAAAGATTACGAGTCGGATGATGCCGATATAAAGCCACTATTACTTAACAAACTCACCGAGTCCTCACCCTTGCCTAACGGGCGAGGTTACCATGGCAAAGGTAGCCCATCCAAGATGAGTAAGTTTGTTGGTATGTGTGGCTGAGAAAGTGGCTACTGATGGGGCAGTTTTTAAAGAAAGTAGTGACATGTGGCCGCATCTTTAGTGTTTGTTGCTCTCAATCGTAGGATCAGAAATTAGTTAGTTACATGTTGCGTTTTTGAGCATTTAACTTTACCCCTAAGTACACCCTCTCTCCGTCCAGGAAAAAAAATGGGTACATGTAAGGGCAGAAATAGAAATACTATTTACCTGTTTGCATCTGACATCACAGCGTCAAGCTTTGTATTCCCCAGGCAGCGGAGACTGTTTCAAGACTGTTCAGATGTCGTGAGCCCGTTGAGCAAGCCGAAACTTAGAATGAAAAAATTGTCAGGTCTTGTGGTGCTTTACAATTTCTACAAGTATATTACATTGTTATTATGCATTCAATTATGCCTACACGGTTCTGCAAATAAACATAGATGGGTGTGCAGACACTCAGACGAGAGGCAGCCGTGTGCTTCAAACAACAACTGATGTTACACTTGAACCAAACTCTTGAGTTGATGTATACACTCAAAGACAGTTTACTAGTGATTTTGCGAACAAGTTCTACAATCTTGGGTAGTAGAAGTGATAACAATGAAACCGAAACCTAGTTCCAGAGACTAACTGATAACTCTTGTATGTCCCTTCAAGAGGGTGCCTGACTGATGAGCTTGTAGTATATGTTCCAAGTTTTTAAAAAAAGTCTTTTTTTTTTACATTTGTGGCATTTTATTTGTGAATATCGCACGGGTAGTTTTGTTAGGTCTTGTATAACTCTTTTTGTTAGTTATCGTATAGCTCTTTTTAAAATGAAAACATTAAGTTTCTTTTGAAAATTCCAAACACCTTGGAGGCTTTAATGAAATGACATAACAGTTGGATATTGTACCTTTTTCTAAGTTGAGTTTGACACTTTGGATGCAAGGATATAATAAAGCTGTGGTTGGTATCATTTAAATGCATGTAGACATTCTAGATAACTTGCAGTGTCTTGCAGACTAAGGTTGTCCGTTTTTCTGTGATGAGAGGTAAAAGAAACTTTAAAAATGTATATTATAGAATTAAAATATGTAAAACTTGCTGCAGACTTTTGCCGTGGCAAAATATTGATGGTGATTGTGCTGGGTTCAAAATGTTGTGCCCTCATTTTTGGTTTGTCATGAAGAATGATTGTTTTGTACATCAGATCATTTTCAGAGTCGAAAAGCCAAGTTTTTTGGCCAGTCAAACAGTGGTGGGGCCAAACAGTTCTCATTAATCCTTTTTTATTTGTTGTTTTTGTGCCTCAGAATGTGATGGAGTCAACCAGCTTGGCGGCAGCTTTGCCAATGGCCGCCCGCTGCCAGTGCACATTCGTCAGCTCATCGTGGAGTTGTCCAAGAAGGGGGTACGGTCCTGTGACATCTCGCGCCAACTCAAAGTCTCGCACGGCTGTGTCAGCAAGATTCTCGTCCGGTACGTGGGTTAATGACATCTGGGGTTGATGACGGGGGGGGTGAGGCGATAACCTGACCGGTATCGCTCATTTTTCTCTTGTTCATGATTGTTCGATGTCACAGCTCGGAGAGGGCTTTACCAGTCAATGTCCTGTCTTCACAAATTGCCAAAAAAGGTGATTACTTGTCGTCAATTTTCTTGCCCACTCTTTCAAAAAGGGGTCAGAGGAAAAGGGCATGCTCTGTTCACTGGGGAAAATGATTGAAAAGGAATAAAAATAAAGGATAATTCTCTAACCCTCTTGACGATGGCCACAGGTACCAGGAGACGGGCTCCATCCGGCCGGGGGTGATCGGGGGAAGCAAGCCCAAAGTTGCCACGTCAATGGTGGTGGACAAGATCGCCGAGTACAAGCGGGACAACCCCACCATTTTTGCCTGGGAGATCCGCGACAAGCTGCTGCTAGAGGGCATGTGCACCAAGGAGTCAGTGCCTAGCGTCAGCTCCATCAACAGGTACAGTTTACAGTCGCCGTAGTTACAAAAAAAAAATACACAAATCGAGGTGTAACAATTACTGAAATAAGTGACCTAGCCGGACAGGACTGTACGGCAAATCGCCCTAGCCTCCCTTGACTTGTCCACTTTGAACAGGTGCACCCAGCCTTGGTCTTGAACAGCAAACGGGGGACGGCAGTGGGACGGATTCTAACGTAGCCTGTGATGGCGTCTGCGAGGACCCGTGCCAAACCCACAATATCTTATCCTCTGCATACAATGTTGTCATTATGAATCACGAGCAACCATCAACATTTCTCACCCACATAATTTCCATTGTCGTTAATAGGATGCCAGACTGATACATCAAAACAAAGAAGTGTCTGCTCTTCCTAAATCCAAACTAAAACGGGACATAGTGAAACACAAAATGGCCCTGTGGCTGATTTTGTGGTCTTGGGGCACATTTGACTACCTAAAAGTCAATTTTACCATTAAATGAAAAATGTTTAAAGCTGTCTCTTATTATCATGCACGCTGTGTAATAATTTTGAAAATTGCTTGGTTTATAGCTGTTGGTTGTTATGGATTTTTTAAAAACATACATGTACCTAATACAAACAGTCAAATCAAGCCATGTTATTTTGTGATTTAAAGGTGTACCCATGGTTTTTGACCTTCAGGAAAGATAATAATAAACAAGGACTATTTAGAATGTTTATTCTCGAAGTAACATGATGACTTTCGTGTTAGTAAATCACTTGTTGATTATGTCCTCTTGCAAGAAAATGAGAACCTCTGGATTTGGTAAGACACAAGCGAGAAAGAATTGAACCATTTGTACAGGCTCATTATGCCGCCGTGCATTCCTGAAAAACAAGTTTGTCAGTTGCGGTGGACTTGTTTATTATTGCTGTGTCAGACACTGCGCAGTACAGGGGCGAAGTAGGCCTCCCAGCCTGTTGTCCTCACGCCCGCCCCGACCATCTTTGTGTTGCCTTCACGTCTGAGTGGAGACACTGTTGTAAGAGTAAAGGCAGGCGCTGTTTCCACTGCTTAACTTTTAGCCGGCTGACTAGGGACGCCATTCAGTTGGTTCCACGCCGGGGTCATCTGTGTGTGTCCCCATTGACCAAACCCTGGCACACCATGCTGAAGTAAAGGCACTCGCTGAATGGATGAAAGGGCATGTACAAAAAAGAATGGTTCCTTCACTGCTCATTCAGCCATGCTTCAGGCCTCCTCTTTATGTGATGTATCCTGACTGCGTTACAGTACTTGTTGTTTAACAATGAAATTGTAGTGTGGTGCTTTTATTTGGGGTTTTTTTTTTTTGTCTTCATCTTTATGGTTACCAGACTACTTTACTCTTGAAGAGTTTTAGGGACCATAAACAAATTCTGACTCTTTTTGGAAATACATACATGTAGCTTGTTTGCATATGACAAGTATTATACAAGCCATAATCAGTTTCTGAACACCCCATAGTAAATTTTCAAATCGTTTGATGTGGTAAAACCATGGTTTCAACAAGGAATCTGTTGGGTTTGGATGATTTCAGATTTAGGTTATTTCTGGGGTAAATAATAATGGCATAAACACGTTTCTGGTCATCTTTTTGACGTCACAAACCTTTTTGGGAGAGATTATGGGGGGGGGACACATAACCTATCACAAAAACTATTGTAGATATATTCATAAGGGGAACTACCGTGTCCCATGGCTAGATGTGAATCTACACGTACATTCTTAAGCGCAGTACTGTTAGAGCACGGTGCTTCTAGAAACACAGACTTTCCGATTGCCTCACTTGCACGTCATTATTCTCAACAAAGCCAGTTTCCCTCACAATCCCGCTATTGTAATCATTGTTGCCCTGAACTATGTGTACGTGTACGCCGCAATCCGCACAAGTGTATTGCCTCAGGCGCATCATGTGCAGAGGCCCGACTGGTCTATCTGCATGGGTGGTTAAGCACACTCTGCCTCCCTGCCAGAATTGTAATATCTGGCGACTATTGCAATGAGTCAGCATAACGCAGGTCAAGCATGCAAGAAGTAACATTAGGAACATAGTTTTTATTTTGAAACATCTGTTAGTCGTTCTATCGTGGAATGCATTAGTAGTGAATGTAGAATTTGGATCATCAGAGAGTCATCTACAAGAATGCATGTAGCTGGGGTCACTTTGCCGATATTTCCACAACTCCCGAACTCCACCCCTGGAGGACCCCAAAGGTTTTGGTTTTTTTCTTCAACTTTTTAAGGGGCAATTAAGCTCCATTTGAAGTCATAGTGGGCAGAACACTGTTGTGTTGTTTTGTGTTGGCCAAATAAATAATTACATGTAATAATATTAAGAAGTAAATGTGCTCCAGTTTTGAATTGCTTTGTGGAGAAAGTTTTTTTTCTGGCGAGCTAAACCAGGGAGAACACAGATCTGAAAATGTAGATTTAATGTGATACTACCTAAATCCCTGTCATTAGAGCCATGCTTGACCGGAAGATATTTCAAGAAATTTTGCACAGTGCAAATCAGTCAAATGTTTACCCAAATAATGTCCATTTTCACCAGGATGCCAGATTTACGGCAACAATCAAACCAAAGAAGTCGGTTAGCTCTTTCTAATGCAAAATAAAACTACTTGGAAAAACTGCCATAAAACTCTTTTTATGGATTCCTTTCTCAAATGTTTATTAGTCCTGAATACGACAGAAAGAGAGAAATTTGTAATGATCTTTTGGTTTAAATCTAAACCAGTGAAAAACTTTATTACATAATGGTACTTTATTTGTTGTCTTTGACCTATAGAATCCTACGTAACAAGATTGTTAATGGGCAGGTGCGTCATGATCTGTCTCTCACTACCAAGAATGGTGCTGACAAGATGGTGAATGACCCGGACCACAGCCCTATGGCCTCGCCCACGGGGGGGATGGCCTCACCCATTGGCTCGCCCACGTTCCGGCCCAATGTGCTGCCCCAGCACCAGCCGCCCGCCCTGACGAAGCAGCAGATTGCCAGCATGACGGATGCCCAGCGGGAGCAGTATGCCGCTTTCCTCCAGCTGGCCCAGTCTGCCCTGGCCTCCCAGGTCCCTGCCAATTTCCTGCCCTTTCAGGGGCTGCCGGGGGCCGGAGGGGCCGCAGGCCCCCACCAGACCATGAACATGCTGACGGGACCCTTCGTCGTGCCCAGCTCTGCCCTGCCTGCGTCCTCCACCAGCCTGGCCAGCCTGCCCGCGTCAACCCTCGCCCCGCCGGGACTGAGCGTGGCCAACCCCGCCCCCGTCTCCCTTCATGCACCCGCAGCCACCAGCTCTCCCTTGCCCAGCCTGGTCTCTGCCCTGCGGGGGGTCACGCCGGTTGTCACAGCTGCCACCCTGCCGCCTCCCACTTCCTCTCCGAGCGCAACCATCAGTGCAGACTCCGTCTCCACGGCAGTGACGGAGAGCCTGATGCCGGCCACGTCCATGCATTCTGCAGACAGTCTGATTGCCACGGCCGCGGCCGCTGCGGCCATACCCCAAGACGAGACAGCCACCGACCCTCCCAAAGTGAAGGAAGAAGGTAAAGCCGAAACCAGTTCCTAACAATACACTCCATGCACGCTAACAAGCCGTGGCTAACATCACTCCTGCTCCTTCACTCTCTCCTTTCCAATGCTGGACTCATTCTCTTCATCTGCGCCACTGGGCCACCAATAACAAGCTATTAAGCTGTGGAGGTGACTAAACCAGGTAACCTGTTCACCACTGCTGCGCAGGCAGTCCATCATGAACAAATCTTGAGTATTTGTCGGACACAAAATGCACTGTGTTTAGGGCTTACACCGGGGAGAAATGCTAATGTCATTTTACCCTTAACCCTATCTGCCTAAGGGTTGCTGAAGTGAACCTAACCTTCCCCATTCACACAAAGTTAA